ACTTCGCGGCATATTTTGACCTGAAGGTTCTGAGACGTGAATAGAGTGGTCGGGGGCTACTAGCTAGTCTATGGCTACTGCAGGTATATAAGGACCCGCCGATGTCCCGCGAAATCATTTACCCTTTATACTGGGCCCTAGACACTTCGCGGCGTATTTTGACCTGAAGGTTCTGAGATGTGAATAGAGTGGTCGGGGGCTACTAGCTAGTCTATGTCCACCCTGTACACACTCAGCCTTCTTGTAACACTTGTATACATTAGAATCAATTAGAATTTCTATTACTAATTATTAAACAAATTTTAACAATTACCGGCACTCGCTAGGCACGTAATATCAGACTTTAAATACTCGACTTCGAACTTCGGTTTAGTCATAATTCTATTAATGTTATAATAACGTATAATTTATTAATTTTCACAATTTTATTATTAATTTATACTTCCAAAAATTTGTTAAAACATTACATATTATTATTTATACATTTTTGCAAGTTTCTTTGACAAATAAGTACGTTTCAACGATCTTATTACTTTCTCGTTGTGAAATCAAGTTCGGAGGATTAAAAATCAGGTTGACCCTTGGTCGTAAATTTAAAATAGCCATAGTGAAGGTGAAATTATTATTTTAAATAAATGTTTCTATACGAATTAAGAATCTATTCAACGTTTGTTTGTTGCAATACCGTGAAATAAATTGTATTATATATTTTCTCAGTTTAGACTGAATTTAAAGTTCGTAAGGATTAGAAATCAGGTTGACCTGTGGTCGTAGATTAAAAATAGCCATAGTGAAGGTAAAATTATTACGTTAAATAATTGTTTTTATACGAATTAAATATTGATTCAACGTTTATTTGTTGCAATACCGTGAAATAAATTGTATTATATATTTTTTCTGTTTACACTAAATTTAAAGTTCTGTTTACATGTTATAACAATTAGAATGTAGACGTTTTGCCGTTTCACGGTTTTTCCTCTGTTAATTATGTGTTTATAAATCATTTCAAACTAAAGCAGCACCATGCCCACCCTTAATTAAACCGTCTCAGTAGTTTACCGTAATTAATAATCTATTTTCGGAATTTATACGAGAATTTTTGAATTTTAGTAAATACTAGAGTCAGTGCATCGCGTATTGAAATAATAGCTTATACAGATAATCTTTTGAAATTACTCTTAATTAGGGAAAATCTTGAATCTTGTATGGAAGATGAAGATTTTCAGGAAATATTTATTTTTCAACAATGAATTTTTGTTTTATCGATTAATAACGTACGAAATGATTTTTGGAAAATTTTCTTCGTTTGAACGTTCGTTTAAGGTTCGACTATGATTATCAAATCTCTCGAAACACCGTAGAATGTTCAATTTTAAAAGTAACTTCTTCAATTTTTGGATAATCTGGGTAACGTGTTAGTGTTGACGATACACTTTCGAGTATAGACGTTAAAGTTCATAGAGTGGTCGGGGGCTACTAGGTAGCCTATGTCCACCCTGTACACACTCAGCCTTCTTGTAACACTTGTATACATTAGAATCAATTAGAATTTCAATACAGTAGACTGAATAACAATTCATTTTAACTAATACCTATTAGAAATTTTCCTTTTAAAACAAATATAAATCATTTTACCAATTACTGGTACTTGCTAGACATTTAATATCAGACTTTAAATATTCTCCTTTCGGTTCTTTTAAATACAATCAAATAATTTCTTCAATTATCGATACTGACTTGGAATACTCCGCTTCGAATAAAATATTTCGAAATTATTTTGAAGGTTTAGGGAAATAAACATTTGAATTTTAGTCATCGTTGTTCTTCAGACTTGTCGAGTAGGATATTGATATGACTTTGAGCAATTGAAATTAATTTGAAATTTTTCTTTCAGTATTTTTCATATATTTTCTCTGATATTGAATTTTGTTTACTAATAATTTACCTTCCAAGGAATTTGCATGAATTGCATGTTAAGTAGTTAGTTGATTTATAATTGTATATTGTCAGCTGATTTGGAACGAATGCACTATGCCCACTCTAAATTAAACCGTCTCAGTAGTTTACCGTAATTAATAATCTATTTTCGGAATTTATACGAGAATTTTTGAATTTTAGTAAATACTAGAGTCAGTCCATCGCGTATTGAAATAATAGCTTCATCCGTTGGTTGGTTTATTATTGAATATTTTTACGCGTTTAACTTATGCTTCTCCCCAATTCTCGTCGCGTATTTTATTCAAATTTTCTTATATTCTAGAATCGAGAAAGATAGGAATTCGCGTTTTTTCTTTTGATTGTTTCAATTTTTTAATTGCATTACGCATTATTGCAATAATTTCTATCGTTACATTTAATTCTAATTGTTTAGCAGCTTTTCTGCTGCTATCGACCCTACATTTTATTGACACTTGTCGAATCGACCCTACATTTTACTGACAGTTGTGGAATCGACCCTACATTTTTTTTTTACGTGGAGGTAGGCCTACTCTATGTGATAAACAATTGGCAATCAAACGGTGTCTCTCCCTTTACATTCGAAGGATAATGTGTATAGGTATATAATGTAATTTCTTAGCAATTTGTTTTTGTAATTCATCCAAAGCGATATATTAGGAAATTAAATTAATCACTCAATGAGTATTAACATTAGATTGTTTCCTCGATATGGCCATGGTGGTCATCAGTGATGGAGTGCCTCAAATGTTTAGAATAATTAAAATAAAATAAATGTTTTCAACTAAAATTTTTGAACGTCATAGCTAGCTAGACATTATTTTCAATTGAAAAAAAAAATGATAAAGCATAATACTATAATCCTATGCTTAAAATGTATTTTCTTGTGGCCGCCTGACAGCAACCTGTAAATCTGACGCGACAGTGAACGTGTTAATAAGTAAATGTTGTTCAAATTATATCGTGTTTGATATCATTTTCATCAGAAAAATCTCACCAACATGTTAAAAAAAATTCCAGATGGAAAAAAGTAGTATTAAAGAAATTATATTTTTCTATTATGATTTGTCGAGCCGTGAAATCTCGTAAAGGAAACCGACTGGTGTAGCTTTACACGCTTGACTGACTGCGAGCGAGATAACATAGGTGCAGCAATGACGCAGCCTAGGCGTAGGACCATCTATACTGTCACTTGTAGAATCCAAAGTTACTGACTCTTGTAGAGAATTTACTGTATTCCGGATCTGGACAGATTTTGACATTTCTGGATCACTGCGAAACAGTTTAGACCACATATGGGCAACCCCCTATTTCAGCGAAGTTTGTCTTCAATCTTCGCATTAAATTGTCATGTCGTTCATTATATTATCAAATTTATGTAGAGCTTTATACCTTAGCATTATGTTATAAATATATGAAATATGAAGTAGCAGCTTGTTTTAATTCATTTAATATTCATTTATTTTATTTAATAATTTGGTCTGGCCCTTGACTCGGCGACAGAATGATAATTTGGCCCCCGAACTAGGAAAGGTTGCCCTTACTGCCCATTGCAGTAAGATCCTTTTTTGAATGATAAATCTGAAGATTTTTATGAACTTCCATTGTCATAATTAACGATGGAAAATACATAGTCCAAAGTAAGAATAAACTGTTGTAGGAACCGACGACGGAAAAATATTGAGGAGCCCAACGGGAACCGAACTCTGGACCTTCGGTTTACCAACCATTCCCTCTCTATTCTCCCTTGTCGGTTTCCTATTTGAGTATGAAGGCCCCGATACTACACTGTTTTAAAAAGTTTACTCTAGAGAACGAAACTTATGGAGCAACCTAATATTATATATATGAAGTTAATACCTGAATCAGTTGCTCGAGGGTCGCCCTAGCGCTACGTTGCTTCCAAACCCTCTGCCGTCCCTGGAATACGTTCTCCTGATGCCGAAGTGCCTCCCTCGCCCGCCTTACTGAATCCCTCTCGACGTGAATTCGGTGCCGGAAAAACTCCAGCTCCGAGGAGGCGTTCGCCGGTGCTAGAAAATCGAGCAGAATCCTTTTCGGTGTCATCCGACGAGCTCGTACACAGGTGGCTTGTGAAAAGCGGCGTGCAATAAAAGAGGTAACGGAAACGAAAAGAAAGTGAACCAAATAGAAGGTTGAACTTGGAACTATAGAGAAAGAAAAAGACAAAGAAGAAGAAGAAGAAATGGGGGGAGAACTAAAAGTAGTTGTGTGGTGCACTTACGAACAGCTGGAGGAAGAGTACAGGCCGTTTTGTTAGCCAAAGTAAAGTCTATAGAAGCCTGAGAAAATAAACAAACGAACGAATAATAATAGAAAAGATAGAGAAACGCGAAAATAATCGAGAGAAGTAAAAAAAAAGAAAAAGATAAAAAAGAAACTTTCATCTAGGTCTCGCGCGCGAGAATAACTGAAGCGTTTAAGCTGTATAGACGCTTGATTGTAGATTGTATACTGTGTTCGAACTACTGAAAGTGAACGTTCGATCAAATTTAAAAGTATGAAACAGATCCTGAAGAAATTCACCTTTGTCTTGGAAAGGATATCGCAAAATGTAGGCCGTTTCGTTGCTGGGTAATTGATCACCTAGATCTTCGAGCTTCTCCAGCTGTTTCCTGATGTTCTCCACAGGATTCTCGAAGTTGTTGTTGTTGTTGTGGTTGTTGCCCGCTGCTGTACTAGGTCTGTTGGCGGTGGTCGCTTTCTTCGTGAAATTCTTCTTCTTCTTCGTCAGATTCGCGTTCGTTTCGCTGGCGGTGGTCGTGTCGTCCGTTTCAAATCTCGCGGCTGTTTTAGCCACGGCTATGCTCTTCGGAAACCCCGTGTTCGCCTTCTGAGCGCTCGATTCTTCCGGCTGCTCGTGCGGTTCCTCGGGTTGCTGCTGCTGGTGCTGGTGCTGGTGCTGCTGCTGCTGCTGCACGCTGTTGGTCGGCTGTATCTCGTGAGGTTTGGCGTTGGTCGTCGTCGAGCTCGAGCGCGGGTTCCGTAACGGGGTACTGCGAGTACCGCGAGCACACGATTTAAGGCCTATAGCCAGAGATTAGGACGAATCGCATGAACGTGAGGGAGTACCTTCACAGTGTTCCATTATTCTTGCTTTCTCATAACATTTATGGAGATGTACATACAACGATGGGTCGGTTTTTGTTATTTACAAAGAGCCTGGTCATTAGGGATATGTACATATATGTACAATATAGATACACATACGGGGCAATTAGTGTGCTCAGTTATGGTGTGACAAGTGATACAGACTGTGAAGGTACTGGAACTAGTGAAAAAGGAAAATGGATGTGCAAGAAGACTCGATACAGGCTTCCCTCGAATAACACGGTGTTCAGTATTGTAAAGAAGACTGCAAGGTTAAAATGATGATGAATTAAAGATACTTCTTTCTCTGCACAGTCTAGAATCGAACGAAATTTAGCCGTGTTGTTCGGGTCAAATTCTTTGTACTGGTATATTAAATGAACACTCGATGCAAATAGGTACAAGAAGATCGTAAACGCGTGGACAGAACCATGCTTCTGACTGATTTTTTGTTAAAGTCATAGCACGTACAAGTACTTCAGAGCGCGATCCAACGTGTCAACCCTTTGCGATTCGGTTCGTTTCTCTGATTTCACGCGGCTTCCTCTTGTATGACGCCGCTATAACGGCACGACATCCTAAAATATGGCAATGAAAATACCGAAAGTCGCTCGAACAGGACTGTAGAAGAGCAAACGGTTGACTGGAACGGAAAAGTAGCAAAGCGAGAAAAAAGCTGGTGGCAGACTCACTTTTGTTCTGACGACTCGGTCCTCTCGGTTCTCGTCCTGGTGGACGTCGACCTCTCTGTCTCCGAAGCAGTGGTGTATCCCTCCACCCGTCTCCTTTTCTCGATCGCTGAACGACACTGCCTCTTCAGCTTCATGTACTTATCCTTCAACGCCACATACTTCTCTTGAAGAAGCCGTTTATCGCTGCGCATCTTGTCGAACTCCACGCTCTCTTGTTGAATAGCTCGCTCTGTCTGCCTTCTCGTTTCGTTCCCCACATCTCGCGCCAAATCCGCGCGAATCTCCTCCAGACGTTGATTGTACATTTCCCTGGTGAGATCCTCCTGAAACCGTGAATTCTCTTCAGTCAGTTGCTCCTCCTTTCGTCTCCCGCTGTGCTGCTAACGAACTATCTCTAAACAAGTGGGGCAATGATAAAATGTCCAGAGCAAGGTAGGAGAGACGTGGTATCTATACACATAAACGTAATTGCGAGTGTTTGTGAGTAAAATGAGATCTATAACGAGCTAACTAGCTATTGCGCAATAGAAATTCTTTCGTATGATATACATAACCTAGTATTCTTGAGAAATATTGAACGTTAAATTGGAGGTAATATTATAAGGCGTTATTCGAGAGAAAATAGAATCCCTGATATCGACGTTAAGTACTTAGAAGAATAGACAATGCGAGGTACTCACGTTCCTTCGAAAATCGCGCAGAAGTTCAGTTAGATGTTTCTCGTGATCGTCGGTGATCCTAGAAATCTTCTCCCTGTGTTGCATTCGTAGCTGGGTACGAAGATCCTCGCACTCCTTCTCCAATTCCTTCTTCATTGCCTCGATCCTTTCGGAATGCTGCTTGGTCAGCTCGAACTCGCTCAGTTTCGCCAGCTTCTCTTCGCCCAGGTCACGTTCATGCTCGCTTTCCAATTTTCCCATCTCCTGGTTCCGCAATTCCAGCAATTCTCTCCTTCTCTCGTCAAGTTCCGTCTTCAGATTCGCCAGAATTTCTTGCCTCTCTTTCTCGTAGCACACTTCCAATTCCGCCTTCACCTTCTTCAGATTCTTCAGCCTGGCCTCGTCCATTTCGGCGATTAACTTCTGGATTTCTCGTTCCTCCTTGAAAATAATGAAAAAAGTGATAGCGAATATATGGAAGATAGTAAAGAAATAAAACGGGAAAGAATACCTTCTCGACCATCTCGCATTTTAATTCCTCCAACTTGTCGCACAAATTCTTCTCCATTTGCTTCTTCTGCTCCGCGAAATTCTCCTCCAATTCCTTCTTCGCCTGTCCCAGCTTCTCCTCGAAGTCCTTCTGCAACGCGTCGATGTCCTTGTGATGCTCCAAGCTCAATCTAGTCTTCGTTTCATCCAGCTTCTTGCTCTGCTCCTGTTTCACAGCATTCTCGTAGCGTTTCTTACGAGAAAGCTCGTACTTCTGGTTGACTCGGGAAGAGTGCGACGTGTCGTCGTCGTCAGTCTGTTCGTCCTTCGAGAAATCCACTTTGGACGTGTTCTTTCGGCGGACTTCCGAATCAGTGGTATAATCAGTCTCACTTTTCGACACTAGATCGATATTTTTGATTTTATTGAATTTGCTAGTCGACGTGAAGTCAGGACTACTTTCTCTCGAGAAGCTCTCTCTGGACAAACTGTCTCTGGCCATCTGAAGACGATGATCCTTCTCAGCGACATTTTGGAGAACGAACCTAGTACGATGCTCACTTTCAGGAACATTTTGAACGATGAATCTCTTTCCTACAATTTTCGCGTCCTTCCTCACTGGAATCTGTTCCACTTTTTCCAACGACGAGCTGCTTCTCCCGATCTCATCTTCAGGTTTACCGTCTAAATCTACTTTGGTTTCGTCGTTGATGCTTTGGTTATTCGACTTTTGCGAGGAATGAATCCAGCCAGTGTCCCTGTTCGAAACAACTGCGGTTATTTGTACGTCCTGTTCCTCAGATTCCGACTCCCAGTCGTCTTCCGACCCCGAGTAGGTAAATTTGATATCCACTTCTTTCTCGATGTCGAACCTCACGCTTTTTCTCTCCTCGTCCACTGGTCTGTCATCTGTGAAAAATGAAATGAAATTAAACGGACAATGTCGAGACGACCGATCGATACTGTTTCAACAATGTTCTCACCATCTTCAGACTGTTTCTCTCTCAAGATCGACTTCAGCTTGTCTCCACCGACGTTTATAACTTCGTCAGGGATCATAACCGTTCTGAACTCGTCCAGTTTGCTCCCTTCGTGACTAGGAGTAGTATCTCTGCTTCTGTTGCTCTTCAGAAACATAGTTCCTCCACCGCTTATGGTCAACTCCTTCTGCTGACCGAACTGACTAGGATGCTTCTCTTTGTCGAACTTCTCAGACTTCTCCGATCTAGCTAGAGTACTGACACTGAGCTTATCGATGTCTATGATATTCTCCTCGGAGCTGAATTTACTAGACAACTGTTCCCAATCCTTCTCATGCCTGGGACTGAGAGATTCCGACCTCTTCAGCACCTCCTTCAAGTCTATCTCTTGCTCTGGCGTCGTCGCTGTAGGTGTACTCGCGGCACTCGTCGAACCAGCCATCTCCAGGATTTTCGGGCACTCGTAGAATTTCGGATCTTGGAACTTCAGCTTAGTATAGTCTCTGGAAGCTCTGTTAGTTGCCAGAGGATTATCTATCCTCGTGTCATCTCGTTTCGATTGTTTCTCTTGGGTTATTCCATCCTTCCTCCTTCCTCCGACGATCTTCTTCAACGGTGTCAACGGTGTCAACGGTGTCAACGGTGTCAACTTCGTAGGAATCCTGGTGGACACTGTGTTGTTCTTAGCCGCGTGTTTCGAGGTTTCCTTGGAAGAGGAGGTCTCCTTAGGCAGAGTTGCTTCTTCGTGTGACTCGAGGTCCTTGGTCGTTGTCTTAGAATCCTCTTCTGTTGAGCGAAAAAACTATAATACTGTACTTCGTGTAGCGTTTCGAAAGCGAGGGAAAGCTCGAACGGGGGGTAAGAGAGTCGATATTTGCTCGAAGGATCAGAGAAAAGCGCGTAAACTTTTTCTCGCTCGCGATGACCCTCTCGAGAGGGGCGAGGGGGGTAAAGAAGGCGACAGTGTCAACGTTCTCTCGAGAGCGAGAGTCAACGACTGTTTCTCTCCTCGTCTCTTTTCCACTCTCGACGCGGAGATAAAAGGGACAGCGATGAAATGGATAAGAAAATACGCTTAAAAGCCTAAAACGAATTATTATGTAACAGCTAGAAGTGCTCTTTCAAGTTCCTTTCTCGAGCGTAGCTTTCGTGTCTCTCTATGCATATTCATATTGTTTGATGGAAATTCTAAAAAAAAAAAAATATCTTTTCGATACTGCATCGAATTTCTTGCTCTGATTCACATCGTTTCACAGATAAAGCACGTCGTATTACGATGTGAGAGTGACATTTGTCTCGTGCAGGATAGTGTATGTACGTATGCCTACACGAACTCAGAAAATCGTTTTCGTGTCAAAGTGGATAACGAATAGGTAACGATGTATGTACGTCCCGGTGTACATGGCCACATTGGTACATTCCGTAACAGGTGATACGACGAGGAGAGAGGGATGGGGGTTGCTTATAGACACTCTACCCTGCAATTTTCGATCCGTGCGTTCAAGTTCGTTCTCGGCGGTGGACGTGCAAAGTTCATATCCATTTCTGCGAATAAAAATCGTGGAGAATTTTAAGCATCGTCGTGAATCTCGTTTAATGGCGAAATCCACCACAATACCGAGGGGGGGAGGGAGAGAAGGTTACCCCGGGAGAATCCTCGACGCGGGGAAGTTTAAAAAAACTCCGCTCTTTAGACTACCGTGCCTTTAATCTTCCGTTTAATTCCAGGCGTGAAAACGAGAATGCCAAAGGGAAAGAACTGCCAACAAATATTGACTTTTCGCTGCTGTATGAAACCAGCTGAATGCATCGATGCGTGCGTACTTTCGATACTTGCCAACATTTCTGGATATTTTAGAGATATGTTAATCTATCAAGGGGGTAAACCGACCTTGGATGTCTGAAAATAAGTAAAGTTTGGGAATTTTATTTTCGTAGGTAACTGAAGTAAAGTTTTCATGGTAAACGAAAAGTTTCTTTTTTTGGAAGATACAAACGTAATTTTCAAAAATAAACGCGTTACAAAATTGCAGAGTTGTTGAGAAACCTGTTCTAGTAAATATTAGATTGTTCGGAAATAAATTGCGGTTTTCTGTTATGTCATATTTAGGGCTTTTCTATACTATATATTTTGAATTTACGTTTATCAAGTAATATACCATTTGAACGCGTAGATGCCGCTCTATCATATAAGCGATACACTTTTGTTTTTTACCGTCGTTTGTTCTGAGTATAACTTAAAAACGTAACAATGGACAAGAAACAAATTCGTACCATATTTTTATATGAATTTAAATTAGGACGTAAAGCCGCGGAAACTGGCCGCAATATCAATCATGTATTCGGTGAAAGCACAACTAATGATTATAATGCATAAAATGTTATTTGTAGAACAAGCAAGTTTGGTAAATCGTAAGGGACCAATACTCCTACACGATAACGCCCGCCCGCACGTATCACAATTCACGATTAGGAAGACACACGAATTGGGTTGTGAAACATTAAAACACCCTCCTTATTCCCCCGACTTATCCCCTACAGATTACCATTTTTTTAAACATTTGAATTACTTTTTGAGGGAAAAAATCTTCCGCGATGAAGAGGATGCTGTAAATACCTTCGTGGAATTTATTAATTCTAGAACTCCTGATTGTTATTGTAACGGAATAGGAACTCTTGTAAAACGTTGGAAAAAGTGTATAGAATCTAATGGAAATTATTTCGATTAAATAAATTCATTCTAAGAAAAACTACGCGTCATTAAATCTCATGTACAGAAACCGCAATTTATTCCCGGACAACCTAATAGAATCGATTGCTGGCCGCTATTGCCGGCGAAGATTGGAACGTATGAAATAAAAAATTCTATTTACTTATAAATAAAACTGTATTGTCTACAAGGTAGAGTAGAAATTTTTCGAAAATTATAATTATCATAGAAGAGGGAAAACCACATTTTATAAAATATTAAATAATGGACATATCGAAAAAATCGTATGCTACATTGTAGATAATACATTTCTATTTATAAATCAAAAAGAATTTTTGGTTCCTCCTGAATTGATGTTCTAACAGAAGGTGTTTCGCAATAACTCCTCCATTTTGTACTATTTTCACTTTACAAAAATTGCAAAGAAAAGCTGAAAGTTACATTCATATCCTTCGAAAAAATTGAAATTTTGCATTGAGTAATTACTTACGAAAAAAATTCCAAACTTTACTTACTTTTGAAAGCCTCAAGGTGTACCCTCCACAAGGGGTCAATCTAGTAATCAGGCCTTAAAAAATCGATTTTTCATTTGCATTTGGTAGAAATACAAATCTTCAAGAATGTACTTTCGTATTTCGGCTTTTACAGCCATTTACGGCAATATCTAGCTCATCTCTACCTGTTTATATCGCATTATCCCCTTCTGACTTGAAGTAATATAGTAGTATAACCCTTTTTAATGTAACTGTGTAGTGCAGTGGTGTGTCTCAAGTGAATAAATATGTGCTGGCATTGTCGATTAGTCGTAAGTGTATATATATATCAGACAAAAACAGTACACGAACTTTAAACGCGTTTTTCTTGAAACGTTTCTCTGTTTAACTTGCGAAAGTAAAATAAACAAAACTGGCTAGCTGATCTCTTTGCAATTTTCACACGTTGTTCTACATATCATTAGCTTTCGCCGATACCAGATTTACATTGCTAAGTTGAAAATTTCATATCATTTTGCATCGTAAAACTTAAAGAGGAATGGATAATTTCGATATTTGAACTTCGAATGCGCGTCATTTTGTCAAACTTAGACCTGCATGGCTAATTCTGGTACCTGCGATAACGGTACTCGAACTGATCAACAATCTTTCCAATTTTTCTGTTTTCAAGCAGTCTGCGAGCTGAAATCAGTTCCGCCAACGAGGCATCTTCTTTTAAAGGCGCTATCTCTACCTTCAGATATACCATTGAACAAACAATCGAATGGCTATTTAAAAAATTGTTTTGCATGCTCGATAAGTGTCTTGATAAGTGAAAAAGGTTGGCGTTCTTGTTCGTTCTATCCGCCGAAAGAAAAAAAATCCTGAATATTGTCAAAATTTTTCGGCGTGATTACTAGAATAGCCCACTAAAGATACGTTTCGTTTCATACCTAACACTAGGTTTACGGACATTTCTTATATACCTGTCTCTACGGACACACGACAAATTGGCCGCACGTTTTCTTTAAAAAACAGTATTATACCATATTAACCCCTTAACCTATGAATTTCTTTTTACTATGCATCCAAGCGTCTGTCATTCAGTGTTCCAGTACTGTATCAGGTAACAAAAGTTTATCTGTTACAGATTAATTACATTTAGCAATTCTCAGTGTTACAAATTCAAACGAAAGTTAGGATTACGATGAACTTTGCTTACTGATATAACTATTTTTCTAATATCCTGACTAGAATTTCTGTCACGAGTCTGACTCGTTGTCATAGGTTGATAATATGTATTCATATAAAATTTATAACAAGCACAAGCTTCTCTAAGCTTTCTCTATGCTCATAGCATGCTCACCTCTAAGCTTTTCCTCGCGAAATTCGAAACGCGCCAAAAGGACGCGTCACGTAAACCTAGTGTCAAACACTGACAAGTGCAAGAAACACGTGCGTGAATTATGCAACTACGTACGTAACAGTTTACCATGAAAATCGCAATGTCGTGGTTCAGGTTTGACATCGAATCGCCTCGGTATCACTGCCAAGACTGTATGCTCTCGGTGAAATTCGAGCCGGTTACAAAAGCGTCAAGATCAGGCCAATATATCCGCGTGAGCGACGATTTATTATTCCCCCCTCGGTGTACCGGCGACAAGGCAACAATCCGCGTACGATGAACGCCGACGCGATAATTGGACGGATCTAGCTACGTTCAAGCAACTATTACGTACTTTCACGAGCGAGTGCACCAGCACGTGAGTGCCTTAACGAATGCCACGCACGGCTATGCATACGGCTCGAAAGAGTTTCGAGGGCCCTTTTAAAGCGGCCCGCCGCCCGCCCATCCGATCGAAGGAATCGCGCGACAGATTCGCTCGTGTGTAACTCTCTCTATTGCACTCGAATCGGCCACGATGAACGTCGAGAGTTGAGACCTTTAGCCCTCGGTTCGCTGCCTCGATTTTACTTTCCACGAAAACAATCGGTCCTCGGACGTGAACGTGACGAACTTTGACGAAAGAGATTTCAGCTGGGTATTATGATAATTGGTAAATGCACACACACACACACACACACCGAACGACCAATCTCTCGAAACGAGATAAAAGATCAGTCTCTGGTCGCGATCGGCTCGAAGCTAAGGATAAAAGGAAGGGTAAATAGAAACGTGGCGGGATCCGGGAAACCATCGGTGGGCTCTTTCTCTTTCTCTCTGTCTCCTTCTCTTTCTATCGGTACAGAACTCGTGACAGAATTATCGGTCGTGTTTATTATGTAAAATCGCGACGTGTGGGTCTCGTGAGATAAGATTAACGTGACCATAACCGTAATCGATACAACATGTATAAGTGAATAATTAATAAAAGCGGAGGATCGTGATTCTATCGCGTTCCACGTGTGCACACGCGAACTGGTTCGGGAAGATTATGTAAATGTACGAACGCTGACCGTAAACACGTAGCTTTTTCGTAGCTGTGCATTACGTAGCGTTACGTAAATGAAGAGAGAGAGAGAAAAAAAGAACGAATAAGGAAAAGAACAAACCGAGTATGTATACCGTAGGCAGTTTCGAGCTCCGCGGTCGGGAAAAAGAAAACGAGACGGTGTGCAATTGTGCAAACTCGATGCCGCAAGGTCAAAAGTGTATTCCTGGTTTTACGTAATCGGTGCATGAATCGGCCGAGTGTGTCGCGTGCTGCGCAGCGATACGTCGTCATCGAGAGATGCTCGAAAAAAAAAAAGAGAAAAAGACAACAACATTCGATCGGTGGAAATGAAACGACGAATGGTGGGCGAAACAATTTTCGTGCTGAAACGACTAAAAATATACGCGTAATTCATGTCTCCGAGCCAGGTTGGCGGTCGATTGCCAAATCGGTCCTTGAAATGTCGCAGCTTGGCAAAATTGCGTGGACCGACGGGATGTTTCTAACGAGAGGAACGTGTAATACGGTCGATGATCGTTTCAAATCTTGGCAATCGGTTAGCAAGAAACGAACAGGTGTTTTACGGAACGTCGTTTAGCATCTGTTGCTTTTCTAATCGGTTCGCGTATCCGTTGTTGATATCCACACTTTGGACTATGCACCTTTCGCGAACAAAGGGTAATTAAATTGGAAATCATAATCGGTGCTAAGCTCGGACGATTATTCATTAGGAGATTTTTAAGCAGATACACCTATCTTATCTTGTTTACTTGTTACATTCACGTCGATAAGTCGTTCGAAAAGATACTAGCATTCGGATGAACCGCTATCGAAAACGGTGTTATCGAGTGACAGTCCGATTCGTGGAGGAAAGAAACGCTTCGCACTGAAAAGTATCGTAACACGAAAATCGTACGACAAACAGAGAGAAAGAAAGAGAGCAAGTAGTACAACACACTTGTTACACATTCGCAGTGCGAGGTTCAACCCTTTGCACAACGACATCTCTTGAAAGAAAAACAGACAGCAATCACCACGCTATTACGTTTCGATGATACGATCTTTTATACTTTATTCATCCATCATCGTCTACAATTACATATACAAAAAACCCGAGTATACTTGGAATAAAAAAATATTACATTCGTGTATCGTTCTGCGAATCAGTCTTCTCATCAAATTCTCTCGATACTAGATCATCTAGTTTCTACATCTAGACTAACAGTGCGCTGAGGAAATGTTACAAAAAACCAAAAAAAAAAAAGAGAAAGAAAGAAAGAAAGAAAGAAGCGGATGATGCATCGGTTTAATCAGTCTCAGTCTCTATCAAGCGCAAAGTGCAGCCGAGCGATATCGTTTCAAATGTGTACACGTGTGTGTGTGTGTGTGTGTGTGTGTCTGTATGTATGGACGCGTATGTATCTATACGTGTACAAAAGGTGTGTCTGTGTGCAAAGGGTTAATCCTATATTTTCCATTCAGCCGTAAACACCAGGCAATCCGTACCGATGCTCATTTGCCTGGCGTTGCTAGCCCTGGCTTCCTCGACCATTGCCTTGTGCACAGGATCCAGGGGATGCTCCCAGGAGGTGGTTCCAGTGGACACCTGGTAATAGTACCAAGCACCACTCGCCTCGTGGAAGCACGGCAGCCATCCCTTAGGGAGGGCCGCCATAAGGCCCTTCCTGGCCAGGTCCAGAAGGTGTGGTTCTGCATCAGGGTCGATTCCCAGTCGTCTCGCATACTCGAGCACCTCTGAAAACACAGTAACGCGTGTACGCTCCCATTAGCTGATTAGAAATACTGGCCGGTAGACGGAAGTCACGTTTTCTCGCGATCCATCGAGATTATTAATTCGCTTGTTGGAAACTGAACGCGCCGTTTCCATCGCGCATCGACACGAGTGTATACGCGTACTTATGTAGAAGAGGTAAGAGTACAAGTACGTAGAGATTTTCACGATGCCACGTGAAAAGGTCAAAGTCTCGGTGGAGTAGAAAGGAAAAACTTGCTCGTCGAGTATTTTTTATTCAGTAGCATTGTTCGCGAGATGAAAGGAGAACGCGGCAACAACGGCGAACTTCTTCCTTCTTTTTATTTTTTCTTGCTTTTTTGTTCAGCGACGAAGGATGGTAATTTTTAAACTGGTGTTGGGTTATAAATACTAGAGCGGAGATAAGTGGCGAGGAAAAGTATTTATACCGGGCTGGTTGAAAGGAACGATTTCAAGGTTCTACGGTCGTGCGCGACGCCCGTTCATCGATTATAGACCAGGTGGGAAATACACGTGGCGGCGACGCGGAACTGTTTCTCTGGAAAATAGGGGACGTCGAGGAGCCTTTGCGCGTTCTACGTGCTACTACCATCGTCTCGTTTCAAGGTAAAGAGTACTACTGCCATTACCGAGGAAATTACGACTCACGTGACGAATTAACCGATAACGTTCGTTTCCTCGTCAGTCTAGCAAAAACTGTTCCTCTTGCGTTTGTTAAGTAACGCTTCGAATGGTTGGCGTTGAATTAATTGGACGGTAGCGTGTGCCAGTCACCTGAGCTCGCAGGTAAAGAATCCGAAATTAGACGGCCGTAATGTCGCCAAAACAGAAGCGTGAAGAAGAAACGTCTGACGACAGATAAGGGAATCAATCTCTCGACGCGTTAATTCAGCCGTTCCGTTTAATTAAATACCTCATTTATTAGATCGCGTCCGATCACGCTTCTGGTTATAAATAATTTACGCTCGATCTATTAAAAGATCCTTCCTTCCTTGACATCGATTAAATTCATTCCAGCTACCGCAAAAATTCTGTTCGAGCGCAGCTGAAAAAGCAGATATTCGCAATATCATGCAAACCTAAGCGTGCAATTAAGAAGTCGTGATCTTGAATCTTCAATGGAGGCAAGCCGGAACGTTTCCGTGTTCTTAGGAAGAGTGAATCGCGGCGACGTGACAGCGCTACACAAAAAGGCCGATTTAAAATTCCATCATGGAAGCGTTTGACAGGTGGCTCGAGGTACAGGGGTAACCGCCACAACATCTGTCTTACGCGCGGTGGAGGAAATTTCGTAGCCACGATATGTAGCAACGAGCGTAAATTTCGCGGCTGTGTCGAGGTTCGTGTTTCGACGAAATAAAATTGCAAGTGAAACTTTCCACCTAATGTTCGGCCGTCTGGCGAATATGCTCCTGCGAAATCTGGCTAGTGGTACAGATAGCAAGGGGGGAGGTTCTCGAGGCTTATGACAAAACTTTCGCCGCACTGCGGATCCTATTGATTTTCCTTGCCGCGCTAGGCTACGAGCTCAGTGCTCCCGTCCAACCATGGTGTAAATAAACAAGGAAACTCACCACCGAAACTGTTCAACCCTTTCTCTCCTTTCACCTATGACTTTTCACCTCTTAACCCCATCTCGTCAATTTTTTTCATTTTTCCTCCCTAGATCGTTTTTTTTTTCACGCTCACCACTTTCACAGCTTTGAGCAATTATTGAGATTTTCCTGTACAGTCCCCGATAATTGCAATTTTTGCTAATTGGTACTGCGGAAAGAAAAACGAAAAAACAAATTCATACGTATGCGTGAAAGTTTGCTTGGTCAGGAATGGCGGCTGACAGAAGTCACGAGTGTCAGGACCGATAAGAAGCACAATTTCCTTAACTCACGAACAAAGAACCAAAGAACTTCTCAATTGCAATTATACCTCCACCTTGTTCTTTCGTCGTATTACTAAATGTTTCGACACATTCTGCGATCTTTCCTCTGAACAGCTAATTAACCCTATAGTACTCGAATTCACCATCTGCCCGAAGGAGAAACCTCAACGTACCGTCTAACTGAATAAAATGGAAACCTTGATCGAGGCCGTGACCTCTTTCGAATCTTTCCCATTTTCAGGAATTAAGAAGCCTGAGTAGTAAAAGGGCGGCGGAACCGAGGGATGACAGTGTCGGTGGCTAACGAAGAAAACCACCCGGTGCTACATCGATCGACAGAGCAAAGTGGCAAGAAGAAGAGGGACACTATGGAAGAAACGGTCGAATAGTCTGACGATGAGAAAAAAGACTCGCGGCTTTTTTTCGTTTTCTTTTTCTCTTTTTTCTTTGTCCACGTACCTTTGTGCGACGGATGCGACGTCTCGTCAAAGACCTCCCTGCACACGATCGAAGCCGCGCTCTCCTGAGAAATGCTCATGCTAGCGCGAACGGACAGCCGGGCCCCGGGACGCAGGACGTTCACATAACGCGGCGAACATGGACGTGTCTAGACCGTGGACAGAGCACGGGCGAGTCGCGTAGGCCGGGAGCCGTCATTTTTCCAGCGGTAAAACGACGGACGCGTGCACGATGAGAGGTTTCGCTGGGGCGACGAGGCCCGTCCGACGACAGTCAACGTTCAATCCTCACGACTTGAACGTGGGCGATGTGGAAGGAGGAGCGACGAACACGAAGCGTGCAGCGCCCCCGGTAGTCTGACCCCGAACTAGGCCAATGATAAGGGAACGAGTAACAGCCGGCGGCAACTGTCTTATCGATTAATCGAAAGCAACGGCAGCGGCGATGTGCTGCCTGCCGTTCTTGTTGGCAGCGCGCGCGGGAAATACGCGCCGATGCGTATACACGTTCTACCTGTGTTTCTCCTATCATCTTTTCCTCCTTCTTCGTTTCCTTTCTCTCTTTCTTTCGTTTTTCTCTTCCTTTCTATCCTTCTTTTTCTGTGGGATTCTAGGTTGATTCGACGAGAGTGGAGAATTGGAGTGGAACGCGTCGTTTTCTGGAGAGCCCGAGAGGATGAGATGACCTCGCTATATTCTTCGTCTGCTGCTGCTGCTGCTGTTGCTGCTACATTTCCGTGTTCGAGCTTCTTTCACCGGGGAAATGAAATTTTGTATCTGCTCTGGTAATGATTTGATGGATTGTTCCGGATGTGATTCTATGTGACCGGTGAAACTGGAGCACACGGTGAGCGCGCGCGCGCGCTCTTACCTTTTCTTCCTTTCTTTTACACCGCCGTTCGTCGTGGATAATTTGTTGCGTGATTAAGCGAAGGAATGTACTCGTCGAATGGTTTTTTGCTATTTTGCGGAGGAGTTGAACACGGTGTGTTCTTGAAATATATTAATGTGCCGGATTATGTGGAACTCTTTATGCAGTATTTAGGTATTCAGCGAATACAATGAAATATGAATGTTTATTTATGAATGGATGAATAATGGATCGCGATTTCGTCGCCTCCGTGCTGTCGATTGTCCTTGACGGTAGCTGTTTTTAAGAAAGAAATTATTTTCTTGTACAGATTGTTCTTCGAGACGGTTATTTATGTAATTCGAAAGCAACTTAGATGGATTGCTTGAAAAAAAAGGGAAAGGAACTCTACGAGTGTGGTGATTTAGAAAAGGATATCAATCAATAAACGTACATAAATGGAATTTTTTCTTTAAATAAAGGAATTTCTATGAAAATAATTTTTTTTTGTCGATTCCTATGAAAATGCTGTGATTATTTTCACGTGCTTGCATAAATTTAAAGATCTTCCATGTTTTTTATTTTATCGATCATCATCGAAAACCTGGGGAAACGATTGCAGCGCCACTAGGTTGACCTCTGTATCACGTGTTCATATTTCCCTAGAAAAAGTTAGATTCCTTTTTTACCAACGATATAGGGGAATTCTTGGCTCAGATGATGCAAAAGTTTCCTCTAGAGAACACGCACGTTTTCGAACGAAATCGAAAAATTTTTATAGAATTGTGGACGTATATTTTTGGGGATTATTTTCTGGAAAAGATTGCATTAATTGTGTGTCAATTACTATGATTGTGTAAGATGTAAAATTGTAAGAAAGTATTCGTTACATTTGAAAGCCCTCAGCAGAGATGGCGCCAACATATGTTTAGCTACCCCTAAATTAATCTCGTTTGTAATAAACGGCAGACAACCTCTTGGTAAATTATTTTATTGCTAAATACATGAGCTCTGCAAATTACATCAAGCCTTAATCACCATCATTCAATGTTTAATATTTACATACTTAAAGCGCTTACCTATTCAGATTTATGCAATATGCGACGCTACATTTCGAACTCGTTATACGAAGTATAGGAATATAACTTTATGTGCTTTTCTCTGTAGTATCAAAAGAAAAAAAAAAAGAAGAGTTTTAAGCGTTCTTTTATTGTGGTAAAAATAACAAATTTTTATGAAATCTTGATCTCTATATGAAATTTATTATTGCAAGTCAAATCTCATTACCGATTTTCTTAAATAATTCTAATTTTGTGAAAAATACCTCAGACGAATTATAAACATTCGACTGAAACTTCGGTGATTCAAGCTACTTTGAAATTCACGAATACAATTTTGAAACGGTAAAAAATGCGAAATTTGCAGAAATTAGCAATTCCAAGTGCAATTAGTACATTCGCCGCGTTCGAAGAGAGATAATTTGCAATTAACATTTGCATTATCAACAAGATAAATCGTTCTCTGTGTTTCGTCCTTCCTTCGAGAATAATAATCATTCAACGATATACCAAGAAATTCTCCCATCGAATGTACAACAATCTTCCCAAAATTCAGCTCGCTGAGGACACTTTTCACCTTCGAGCTTGTGAAAGAATTCGCGTTAAAAAAATTCACCGAAAACAATTCTGCAGTCTGAAATGACATTCGATTCGTTTCACCGCCGTTCCCAGCAGAAATACAAAATCCTAAGCGACAAATCATCGTACCACAAGGAAAGTTGCGCCGAGACGCATTCTACTTGTCGCTCGGCGAAATAAGGACGACAAACGTCGAAATCCTTCAGACACGAATCATCCCTATGGAAAGAAGCACTCGTTCACCTTGGAAAACGTTTCAAAGACACAGTTGTTCGACGGAAGACTCGTATTTTCAGCATCTCCTCCCCCCAATTCGCCGCGGTACCAGTTACGCGAGCATAGAGTATACCGCTCGGTCGCATTTTCCAGCAACAGCGAAAATAATGATCGAGCATCGATTGGGACATTTAAATTTCACGCTCTATAGAAAACAACGAGGACCTGCGAAACGCCGGTATTAACGTTAACGACGCCAGGATTCGGCCAGCATTTCGTCGAACGCGAAAATTAAATGATAATGATATCCTACGCCGACGCCGCGTGAAATACTTGCGGCCTCGAGCCGGGAACATTTATTTTTTCCTCTCTTTGCCCTCTCCCACTCTCTCTCTCTCTCTCTCTCTCTCATATTTTTACTCTCTCCCCTTTTCTCCATGCTTTCGTTCTCTGTCCACCCTTCGTCCCTTTCCACCGTGCGTTTTTTGTTCTGTAAAAATCCTCGTTAACTCGAATCACGATTCCCGCGCATTATATGAAGTCGGTACCGACTTTCCACTTTTCCCGGGCTAAATAAATCGTTAGAGGTGGTTCGGTAGCCCGAGCGCGGGCTAATGGCGTTCCACTTATTATTCCTCGACGCGTGTACCCGCCGGAAACCGGGGATTAATCAACGTTCGAAGGTGAGGCAACCGATGACACCATCGAACGGACACATAATTGACAGGCTTCCCGCGATACAGCCGGCTCGAATCCGCCACTTGGATTCCGCCGGGGCACGGACAAAATGGCTGAAATACGCACCACCGCGGCAAAAATCTTCTCCGACGCTTTTTTCTCTTTCGTACTTCGTCCACGGAGATAAAAAGAGTACGGCAGCAGCGGCGAGAGCAGACTGTGTAAATAATACCGCGATATACAGGGTGAACCGATAAGAATTACCGCCTCGAAGATCTTCGGTATCGCGAAAGTAGACGAAACATTTTTCAACAAATCTACCCAAATTTGTAGAAGTCTACGGGTGTACTGAAATAGTATAAAAGTGTCAAATAATATTCAGCGATTCTAACTAATAGCTAACTTTCCAACGCATCTTCCACGCTATGCGGAATTGAATATCTGCGGAGTGAAGGAAGTAAATGGAAAATTTTTCCAATGAGAGTTGTTCGCTGTGAAACGGACCATCGTATCTGGTCGTAATAATTATCTTTCTATGGGTGCAGTCGCTGAAGAGACCTGAAGATCATCCCCCTCTTCTTTAATGACGTGCCATGTTGATCTTATTTGTTTGTTAATGACGACCCTTAAGGTGAATGCAGAGACTTGTGACAGATCAGCCAAGGCCGTGGAAGGTTGATGACATTGCTACTGCTGACTGAATTGATCTTTAACGAAGTCAGAATTTATCGAGGCACATGTGCCTCGGTGACTTTAACTGACATTGTGTTGTAGATTTTTGTGTTGGTCTTAGAGGCTGTTGTTAGTAAATAAATAGAAAAGCAAGGTTGTCTTTCATATCTCTTCAGCGACTCTACCTGCGAAGCAATCGTTACAACCATACGACGACTTATTTCATGCAGAACAATTTTTAATGGAAGAATGTTTCCCTCACTTTCATGGTTCCGGAGATATTCTTATTAGTCCACCGTGTGTAGCAATGCTACGTCAGTTTCAAGTCGTATTTTCGAACTTCACCATAGAGACAACAGACTGAGTCAAAATGACCCATCGACAACTTTCCACAAAAAATGAAAGTTCGACACCGGTAAGTGTCATCGTTCCTAACTTTCCCACATTATTTTCTGCTGGTATACTTCTACTCGTATCGATACAAATCTAATTTTCCAATCACGTTTCACCCAACAGAAAGATTCACTTTCGCGAAGTCGCCGATGGGTCTTTTCTGACCCGACCGGGCGTTCTAGCGTTAAAAGACGAGAATTATTACAGCAAACGAATCTGTCGAAAAATACGCCTGTCGCCTCTGTTCGTATATTATAATGGTACATTAGAAAAATCGCACAATGCAAATTGTTTTGTTCGAAGAGAGCGTTCCTTTCTCGAGCCGTCACCCGAGTAGAAACCAAACACTGCAACAACAAAAAGATCATTACGGGCTCCTCTAAATCGTAGCTGGACGCATAAAAAAACAGAGAGAGAGAAAAGAAAGTCGCACAATGGGAGTAGCGATCGGATGAAGGCAGAGAAAATCCGTTACATGGCCACGATGGGAGAAACGTAACAACCCGAAAAATCACGTACATTACCCGGGACAATAAATTCTATTGGTCGTTAGACCCTCGATGTTCACGCTGGGGGATCCCCTAATCCTGTCCTAACACCGTAATGTCGTTACCTTGTTAAATAAATGTCACTGCAGGAGGGGTTGTTCGGGGCTGGCCAGTCGGTCTACAAAAGACCAACCCCTAAAAATTGGGCCAACGTCCGTACAGCTCAAAATGGTGGATGTACGCGGCCGCCTGAGAAAAGAAGAGAGGCCAGACAAAAGAAGTGACGTTCAAAACGACTCTGCAATCTTTCCACGGCAATGGCCGATTGCAACCTAACCCCCGTCAGAACGAACGGTTCGTATCGTTTTTTTCAATCACGAGATAATCGCGTGTTGATGAAGTATGGAACCGAACGATTGCACCGTTTGCAATAGGCCTCACGATTCCGATCTCACGGCTCGTTTCTGGTGAACCTCGATCCTTCTGTCATCGGGGATCTTTCGTCGATATGAGCAAATATTTACCGGTAGGAATTCTGTGAATATTTCAATATCCTCCGCGATGGATGCTATTTCTCGTTTTCGCGCGGATTGCTGGAAACGGTTGAATTCTGTTAATTCTTCTATCTGCCCTCTGATCGATGAAGTTTTTCGTTTGCTTCAGGATCGTTGGAGATAATTGCAATTATTTCCCTGTATCGGTGTTGACAAGTGACTTGTTAAAGTTGAGGTTACTGTTAATAAGTTTCTAAGATGTTTAGTAACACTTTCCGTTACTGAATGATTATTTCTTCAGAATTATAGCATCTAAAGAAGTTTTGACTAACCGCTGGTTATTATTAACGAGTGTCGTTGAATGATTGATACAGTAGGTACGTATTTCACGGTCTATGAAATTTCCGTGTAATTAGAATATAGACGAAATTTTGTAGGAATAGGAAAGAAATGTATTTTAATATTTGCTACGTTCAGAAAAGTACGATACTTTTGTGTTGTACCACGAATTACACCGTTACAAGTGATCGTTATTTCGACTACAATCTACCTGAAGGTTGATTAAACATTCCGCGAGAAATATCAATGCAAACGACGAGGTGCTGTGTGATGAAAAGTGTGAAAAGTGTCACGGCTAAATATTTAGCGAGAGGCCTAAAAGTAGCGAAGAAATGCGCCATTGCGACGGCAAGCGTTATCCGTGAATGTGATCTCTTGGATTTCACTTCACCTTCTTCCACGTCTCCCTCGAAATTCAGGAGTGCTATAGAAATTTACAACGAAGTTACAATTATAACCGGTAACGATAATTTCTCGTTTCGAAATAGCAAAACGTGAGAAACGTTTCGCAAAGTGGGTAGGTGTATTCACTTCGAGCAATTCACTCTGTGCGCTTGGAAAAAAACTGCTGTTTTGCAAATATTCATCCGACGAGTGTTTTCACAGCTTCGACAGTGATGCAAGTCGATGATTATCGGCGACGTCGGTTTTTCACGATTTCGAACAACAACGCGATTCTTCGTTCATCCGGTCGAGATGCTTATCTGAAATTTACGTGCACCTGGTAACAGATGTTTTTCATATGAACGACAATCGAGATCAGTATCTCTGTATCCTTTGTTTGACTCGTCGTTTGATATTCATTCGATAACGAACTAGACAGTTTCATGAATTTATCCGAACCTGATAATACCGGTGCGTACGTCAATAGACAGCGACGCTGTGGCGGTGAAAACAATGAAGAAAATCTGTCTTTTCTCTCTTGAGTGTGCGAAATTGAATTTCATCACCGAGTAGTGTAATAGAATCATCGTCGAATTTAGGAGTCTGTAACCGCAGAACGAAAGGTGAATTGGTTGAAAATAATTGTCAAACTGAAAACCACTTGGCTGTGCTCGCGAAAAATTAGGACGATTAAAAGATCCCGCAGAATAATTCTTCTCCTCGAACTATGGAAAATTGAATGGCAAAGGGCGAGAAATTTAATAGAACCATCATCGAATTTAGGCATTGTGAGGCAAGAATCCATTCTGAGCGCATTGAAAACGATCGCCGTCTGAAGACCACTTGCCAGTACCCTCGATCTAAGCATCAGCGCTGAAAAGCACCGTCTCCAATCTCCACCCTCGATAATCCTTTCCAAGCATCGCCGTTTCAACGCAACCGGCGAGGCCCAAATAGACGAGAAACCTTGGGCGGCAATTATGCTCGTCAGGTGTGAAAACGGGCGATACAATGAGGAAGAGTCTAGAAAGAAGAGCTGACGACGACGGCGGCAGGATCCTCCTTGAGGCTGTCAGGACGAGCGGCAGACCACAGGAAGGCCATTAGCACCGTATCAACGACTCAAGGGCAACAGAGATAGAGGTAGAGATAGAGAGAGCGAGAGAGAATGAGACTTTAGGTCTAGCCTTTAAGCGCCATTTTGCTTTTCAATTTTCAGTTGCCGCAATGCGCGCCACCCCCCTAGGCCTAAGAGAATCGTCCGCCCGCTACTGTCACTAATTCCTCAATGTTCTTTTCTGCGGGGTCTAATGCCAGCTGGAGGCTATGCGGCTGCCAAAGCCAGGATATAATGCGCGGAAGAGCAGGGGGAGGACGGTGGCGGAGGGTGGAAAACGAAGGAAGCCGCGTAGCACACGCGTGTGGACTTACGCTCACCCACGCACCTAACGTACGTAAACACACACGTGCACGTAGATAGAGAGAGTGAGTGAGAAAGAGAGAGAGAGAGAGAGAGGCCGGCGGCCGAAGAGAAATTTTACAGCGCGACAATCCACAAGGTACGAGAAAATAATTGCAAGTTCCGTCAGCGACGAGCTGCGAGGGTGGTTCTGGGAGGCGGAAGGGGGAGTGCAGGGTGGTAGGAACGGGGGACAGAGACGGATGGAGTTTCGAGCGGTTTTCTTGCCGCAGGAAGAAGCAGCCGAAGGGAAGGAGACGTGGCGCGAGCCTCGCTAGCGCGACAGAGACAGAGAGATCCAATTAAAAATATTACACATTACCCGCTACACCGCTAAAATGTATTTACTGTTTAAAAGCAGCAGAGACAGAGGGGGCCTGACTCTCTCGCCCACACACTCGAGATTCGCGCGCATAATCCTTCGAGCCTCGCGCCTTCTTCTACTCGTGCCTGAGCGCTTACGCGTTCGCGAACGCAATTCTTTGCTTATGGATGTGTGCGGCTGATAGGGCAACGTATTATGTGTGCAGTCGCGTGTTACAGCCTCTGGTAATGTAGAAGTTTCAAGACGTTTCACTGCGTTCGCGTCGAGGTGAGCTAGGAATATTAATTTGCCCGATCAACACCGATCGAACCTTTTTCGAAGATTCTACGATTAACCCTTTACGCCCTGGACGAAAATTGTGTGTTTCAAAATTGCTCGTAATCTCCTTAATATCCTCCATCTCGCACAACTGCTTCAAATATCAATTTTGAAAGTCAACTTCTATAAATGACGTTAAAATCCATTTCGAAGAATTGTACAAGTTGGGAGATTCTACGATTAACCCTTTAAGCTTTGGACGAAAATTGTATGTTTAAAAATTGCTCGTAATCTCCTTAATATCCTCTATCTCGCACAACTGCCTCAAACGTCAACTTTGAAAATGAACTGCTGGAGATGAAGTTAAAATGAATTTCGAAGAATTCTACAATTACAATCGTAGTTACGCGATTTCGTTGTAGTTGTTTGAAAGTTTCATAGAAACTTTATACGTGAATACGTGAATATGCCCGTAGTACGTGTACGTGTGATTGTGAGTAATGAAAATCCAAGTTGTGCACACGGCCACCATTAATCCAACATGTAGCAAAGTGAATTGGAAACGCGAACATCCTCCGAGACACGTTGCTTTGGACTTCTTTCCCTGTTTCACGATATTGTATCACGCGTGTGGATACATACTTTAACTCACGGATCTGTCGGCTTTGTGCGCATTTTTTTTCTTCATCGCGAGCCTCGTTTGCTCGATAGTCAATTTTGGAGGTTTCTTTTCCAATATGTACAGGCTGAAACGTAGAGCCAATGTGAAGTCAACTATTCTTTCCTGAATAGAAACCGATAGGATATTCTCTACTCTAACGATAACACCTAATTCTTCTACGTTTTCGAATAAATTCACGTGATCGATTCGCGTATTACTAGATCAATTAATTCACACCGTCAACGACGCATGAATAGGCGCGTATCGAGCTTGTAACATCTCGTTAATTGTGTGTAACATCAATTGAAGTGGGAATTGGTCAGGCTGCAAATTGATAGCGAATTACATCGTTCGCCTGTCAGCAAACCGGAACAGTAGAAACCAAAATGAACGACTCTAATCCAGCTAGCAAACCTAAATAGTGAAACGTCAAATCTCAGTGAGATCAGATCGAACATTGAAACAAAAATCATTCCGTTCCCTATCGAACCTACATTTCAATCATAAAAATGGTAAATAAACACTAAATATTCGATCGTTTCATAAAACACGATACAGAAACCCGAGATTATCGGATCTAATGATATCGAGAATTTCTACGAGAAAAACATACGACAGCAGGAAAACTCAATCACTAGAAATAATAGAAAAAAATCAATCGTAAACCTATACGAGCTAATAAATCGATCCCCTTTCATTTTTTCTATTCCCGTGTCATCAACTTCCGAATGATTAAACAAGAACCATTGGAACCGGAAACGTAGGAGAAGAAGAACCATTTTCTGATCTCTGCCCTGTCAAAATAATCGAGTAGACTGAATCGAAGGCAAGAAATCGATCTAGATCCTCTAACGCTGGTTTCATTCACGGATAGTTCAGACGAAGGAGGAATTCTCGATTCTGTCAGCGAGATCCAAACGCAAGAAACGGAACACCGGAACGTTTCTACGTCCAGCGAGCTATCGGATCGATGGCCAGCGCCGATATTGAAGGTGACATGTTTTGAAACACACCCCTTTCATCGGTGCCCGTTTCTTCGTTTCTATGAGCGTATTTAGGAGGCGGTTTCTTCCCACGTGCTTGCCCAAGAAGGGATATACGTGTCGTGTTACCCCGGTGTTCTGTTGCCGCGCGAACCGCGTGCCCACCGGAAGAAATTTTGACCGGGAGAAACCCGAGACTTCGATGGATCCTTGTTTCTCCATTTTCATCCTATTCCGTGTCATCTTCGATCCAGCTGAAACCTTCGATTGACTTGTGATCGATCTTACGTATGCAGTATTCACTTCTCCACCGTTTCCCGGTGTAAATCAGGAACAGACAGCGGAATAAGAGGTGCGAGCCCTTAGAAAATTAAGAGAAACGAGGAATGTCTTTCTATCGATGTAATTGTAAATATGATTCTGACGAGTATAAAATAGAAAAAGGAAATAAATAATTTGTAGTTTGAAATTAAACGTGGTCTTGTTCCGTCGAGTTGTTTTACTTCTTCGAGAAATATCGAGATACGTTTAGGTCCGAAGTAGAATCACAATGGTGTCCAAGCGTGGAGCCAATAAAATATTCCACTGACACCTCGTGTGTTCGAATAGATTTCAGGATGGTCGTGCGACCTGCCATGTATCTGAAGAGGTCCATTTAAACGTCCCTCTCATGTCCTCGCCGGTGACATTACATATCCGGCCAGGTATCGTTTGAATAAGTTAATTAAAACAGGTACGGCTTTCAGTTTGGCCGAAAACAAAGGCGCTCACTGTCAAACCAAACCAAAATAAGAAGCATTCATGGCGGTCCGTACTGGTTCGTTCGTGACACCCACACGTTCGTCTCGGAGACGGAAAGAGCCTCTCTTTTTTTCTGACAAGAGTGCGTGTCCACATTTATTATTTTTCCTTCGAGCACTTCGTACACCACAATTATCGAATCTGACGCGAGCAAGGACGTTCTCTCTCGAAGACTCTCGAGAGAACCATATGGTTCTGCACCATCGTCCATTTCTAACGACTCTGTCACGCGGATTTTACTTTGAAAAGGGAAGTAATTTCGCAGAATAACCTATTGTCTTCTAATTTTTTCTTAGTAACCACGATGATTGAAGTATAATATTTTAATCATATACTAATTTTTTCTCAGTAGGTAACCACAAGGGTTAATATTTTAATAATAATCTGCCTTTTCAATTAAGACTAAGCTGTCCTTGCTATACGCATATTAATCATAATTTGAGCAACGAATCTGATTCAACGTTTTCACCAAAGTGTTGAAACACCTGACTGATAATGTTACTTTGGCGGCAATTGATTAAATTCCAGAGAAATTACAATATCCAGGGAAATGTACATTCAGAAGCTACTGAAAGATTTATTGCCCTGGAAGGACTTTAATTTTCGCACAGCCATTGCAATATTCGTGGAGCCACGAGGCGTATTGTGAATAGGAAACATGTCTCTTCTGGCACCCGCACGCCATTTTTGAAAGCGAGGTGAAGTGTTCCATGGGGTGTCGGTCTAAGACACTCCTTTTCGCATTAATTGAAAAAGCCGATGCCGCGAGACGCGGTGACACATCAAAGAGACTGTTTTCGTCGCTCGGTGCCATCGTGCAAACGAAATAATAAACAACATCTCGTTCGCGTTTTCTAATGGGATGGCAGCTCTGCACACCACATGTATACAGATTCAAACATTACGTCATACCAAAAGCTTTCCCTCGTTCTACCACCTGAATGAAAAATAAGGTTATACTTAACCTGTATCGCTGCCATCAAACGCAACGCTATTAACCCTTTCAGTACCACCAAGAAAATCTCATCGATTCAGGCTATAAATATGTTTCAACCTATTTCAGCGAACTCTTCGCAATAAGAAATCAATGTTATATCTCGTCTAATTCATAGCAACGATCATCTTTGGTCTCAGAGTGCTCGGCACTTGAAACGAAGCAAATCTCATCGGTACAGGCTGTAAATATTTTTCACCTATCCTACTCAACTGTTCTCAATAAGAAATCAAGATATATTGTGCAACGTCCTTTCTTTAGTTTGATATTCACACACATGAAAAAAAACAATTTAACTGGGAATTCACCGTATTCTCCTGACCTGGCACCAATGGATTTCCATCTATTTTTTAAAAGACAAAAGCTTCAGGCACACGGACTACCTAAAGTTAGCATTAGATCAGCTTTTAATCCAAAGGATAAGTATTTTCATCGCATATAACGGTCGATACAATATCATCGATTAACTGAGCTTCTGAAACGAGACTACTCATGGGACGACCTGATAATTCATAACAAACAGCGGTCATCTCTGGTTTCAGAGTGTTCGTCACTCGGAGGATTAAATCAAACACCCCTTTGAGTTCCTCACAAAAAGAAAAAAAGAGCAAACTGTTTGCTAAATATTTATCTCCACGTTCCTTCGCTACTTTCGCCCAAAATTCAGGATTTAGCCACGCGAAGGAAATTGTATTACCCCGATCACCTCGATCCACCGAGAATCTCCCTTCTGTGAACTATTACGGTCGTGTCGGACGCAACGATCAGGCCCGAAAAGTGACGTAGAACGAGGAAAGGAAGAGGTACCGTCTCGTGTCCGTCGGCGAAGAAAATTCGCAGGACTCGGTTGCATCGGCGTCCACAGCGAGGCGTGAAGACAAGCGAGAGCGCGGGGCGTAAGGTGCAATCGAGATTCGCGGCTGTTCCCCGTGTCTGCGTATCATGTACACGTTCACAGCGAAGCCGCATAGGTGTGTATATCCGCGTGTTTCAACGTGTCTCTGCATACATTATCTTTCCGCGGGGGTGACATAGCGGCACGGCAACCCCCTCGGCAGTGATCCGCAGCGCGGACGCCCCCTGTCCCCGCGCACTCCGCCGCGAGCCCCTTTCTCGCGGGCCGAGCAAGAGAAAAATGCGCGATATAAAAGGAAAAATTTTT